CGCATGTGGCCAAATAAGCCAACGAGGTGACCATTTTTGTGTGGACAGTGCGGGCACTTGCTCAAGACACTGATTTATCAGTGTCAGTGCAAAGGATTCGCAAATGATTGAGCAGACCGACACCCAATGGAACAGTCGAACGCAATGAGGGCAGGTTGGAGTCAATTCAGCTTTGCTTGTGGTGGGAATGGCGGCTGGTGGGACGCCAGGAGTGGTTTCGCTGGTGGTGAGACTGGGGGAGATGGTAGTCGTTGTCGTTGCAGGGCTTGTGAGTTAGCGGTGGTCGGTGGCGACTGTTTGATAACGGTAGTTTGCACATCGAATTTGGTGGTCGTGGTCGTCGCCGTGAGGGTTGTTGTGACGGGTAACGACAACGATCTTTGCGGAGACATTAGGCTTATTTATGCTTCCTTGTACTTGTTACGGCTGATATCATGCCTGATCTAGTCGACCTCTTGATGGTACCTCTGCATGTGTGATGATCCGTGGGATCAAACCTGGACAGTTCAATCCATTCTTTTTCTCAACGCCGGAGGCCAAATATCGAACGCCCAAGAACCACTTTCATGTCCTGACGGACTGAGTCGAGCCAGAGTTGAACTGACCTCTTCGACATCTCCATTTGGGTAACGGTGTCGGATCGCAGGCCGTAACACTGAGCTCGTGAGGTTGGCGATGAAGAACCTGTCTAGACCACATCAGTCGTCTTTCTTGGAAGACTTGGGATATCTTTCCGATGTTGTCGCAGCGATTGTTTCAGTTGAGACGAAGTTTATGTACTTCATTTGAAGGATGGTCCTCAAGCAGTAGTGGCCAAATAGCTCCAATTTTCTTTCGTCATCCACGCGCATAGCCCAGCATTTACAGTCATAGAGAAGGACAGACCTAGCGGATGCATGGTACGCGCAAAACTTCGTGGTAATGTAGATATCGCGTCGGATTCATAGGCCTTTTGGAAAACTCGACGAACTGCACCGATTCGGGAGACAATGTCGTCCTTATTCTGTCCTTTTGGCAGCAATTTCGCGTTCAGGTGTTTGAAACTGTCTCCTCCTAAAGTTGACAGCTTATTGCTGT